CCAGGCGACTGACATGTCAGTTGCCCAACTACATGGGACACAGGTGCACACACTACCTGCTTTTAATCTCTGCTGATGGGGTGCTAAGGGCAGCCCTACACAGCACCCCCCAAACTGGTTAAACAATTCTCCCCGTTCAGCCACATCGCCTGACAGAGCGAGAGGAGTCGCCATCCATCCAACTCTCCCTGCTTCAGAGCCAGCTATTCCTGGCATCTGCTCCCTGGCAAGAACGCAAGCGGGTCATCTTCGGTCGAGGACGCTCTGAGTTCAGGAAGGGAAGACGGAGGAGGAGGAGGAGGAGTTGATGGAGAGCAGGCAGAAAGAATCCCAAGAGGTTCCCAGTTGCTGCCAGGCCAAGTTAGTGATGGCTTGAAGCACAGGCTCTCTGCGTGGATCTTTGGCAAGGGGGAGCTGCGGCTGACTTGGCCCCGATCCGTAAAGGGTGCCAGAGCTCAGCCTTCCCAAAAAAGATGTTGGCAGGTTCCTATTTAAATCAGTCGCTTCATCAGAACTGTGAGGACCGGGATCTTAGCTTATTTTTATAGGAAAGGCTGTATGAGGCATCAGTCCCCAGCATCTCTCTGGGCAGAGATGAAAACCCAGAGAGCTGCTGCCAGCAAGTGTAGGCAACACTAGATGCACCAATAGGAGGATTGGGTATAAGGCAGCTTCTCTTGTTCTTGTTTTAAATCAGCCCTTTGCTCAGAACCATGAGGAATAGAGCATTGCTTTTTAGGGTAAGGGCTGTAGCTCAGTGGTAGAACACCTGCTCTGCATGCAGAAGGTCCCGGGTTCAAGCCCCAATAGCATTTAAGCGCTGGGAAGCAGTCCGTCTCCGAAACTATGGAGAGCTGCTGCTAGGCCGAGCAGACAACATTGGCCTAGATGGGCCCCATTGCTCTGACTCACTTCTACGATTTGATGAACAGAGAGACAGTGAAGACCCCCCCTCTCTCTCCATAGCCTCTAGGTCAAAGGGAACCCCCTCCCCGGCCCCAATTTGGGGGCCTGTGGGAATGCGATGTCCTGTCTCTGCAGGCTTTCAACAGGGGACATCAGCCTTGCCGCAGTGCAGTCTGTGCGGAGAAGCCGGTGTCAGTTTTGCCTCGAAATGCCAGCCTTCCCACCCCCTGCACATCGCCCCCATAGGCCCTCCTCACTTTGGCGCCCCCGCAAAAAGCACGGTTTCCTCTGCTTCCCCCTCCCGCCCACCACAGTTCCTTTTCAGAGGGATATAATCCTGCCTAAGCTTTTCCGCCACAGCAACCAGGGCCTCCGCAGTGCCTTGTGAAGCAGGGAGATAAGCTGGGGGCCACTGCGATTCTGACACATTATTCCTAAATTAGGAATGGGGAGGGGGGAACGAGAGAGAGAGAGAGAGAGAGAGAGAGAGAGGAGGCGATGAGTCACAACCTTGCCGCATTCCGCTCTCGAGCCTGGAGCAGAAATCCGGACTGAACACACCAGTGCAAAACTCAGCCGGGCCCAATTCGCCCCCTGCCTCCCAGGACCGCAGCGGGCGAGGCTTCAACCCCGGCCTCTGAGCATGCAGTGACGTCCCTCTGCTTCGAGCCAGTTTTGCTGCATGAGATGGCTGAGTTAGGGATTAAGGCTGCAGTGATTTTTGTTGTTGCCGCGATTCTACGGGGCTCCCCGCCTTTCAGCCCAGGCCATCGGGAAATGGCTGCTGTGAGGTCCGGTTTGTTTGCCAAAGCATTATTGCGTTTATCGCTTTTTAAGATGCCGGTGATGTATACTGCGCTTCTACTAGGTTCTTGAGGTTGGTGGCTGCCTTGCGTTTTAATGAACTGTATTATTGTAGCAGAGACATCACCTTGCCAACAAAGGTCCGTATAGTTAAAGCTATGGTTTTCCCAGTAGTGATGTATGGAAGTGAGAGCTGGACCATAAAGAAGGCTGATCGCCGAAGAATTGATGTTTTTGAATTATGTTTGCTGGAGGAGACTCTTGAGAGTCCCATGGACTGCAAGAAGATCCAACCTCTCCATTCTGAAGGAAATCAGCCCTGAGTGCTCACTGGAAGGACAGATCCTGAAGCTGAGGCTCCAAGACTTTGGCCACCTCATGAGAAGAGAAGACTCCCTGGAAAAGACCCTGACGTTGGGAAAGATGGAGGGCACAAGGAGAAGGGGACGACAGAGGACAAGATGGTTGGACAGTGTTCTGGAAGCTACCAGCATGCGTTTGACCAAACTGCGGGAGACAGTGGAAGACAGGAGTGCCTGGCGTGCTCTGGTCCAGGGGGTCACGAAGAGGCGGACACGACTAAATGACTAAACAACAACAACAACAATTATTGCAGCTTAATGTGGTCTCCCACGCTTGGATCCTGCATGCTAAGGGATGGGTTGCCAATGCAATAAATAGTCAAGAGTGATGTTTAAATCCCACAATCCCATGTGTAATAAGTGAGCTTGACAAGGAGAAGGCACTGACTTCAGAGGAACACCAGAAGAGCCCAGATGCTGGAACAGCTGCCCAAGGGGGCCTGCCTAGTCCAGCATCCTGTTCTCACAGAAGCCAAATTCACCAAAGAACCTAGAAATCCAGATAGACTGCCTCTGGACCTGGAATTTTCAACACGACCCAAGAAGAGCACAGCTGCTGAATCGAGCTGAAGGGGACCATCTAGTCCAGCTACTGTTCTCACAGTGGCCAACCAGATGCCCAAATGGGGAATCCCGCAAGCGGGTACCTGAGTGCGAGAGCCCTCTCCCCATTTGTTACTCCCAGAAACTGGTATCCAGGGGCATGCTGCCTCCAACAGCCATTGTGACTAGTGGCCTCATCCGCCGCTGGTGAATTTGTCTAAGCCATCAGGCCAAAGGAGGCCCATCAAATCCAACCTTCTCACAGTGGCCAAATGCCCCTAAGAATCTAGGAGTTTAGATAGACTGTCTCTGGACCTGGAGGCTCCATGAGGACATGAGAAGGGCCAGATGGATTAGGCAAATGGCCCCCTTGCCCTGTTCTCCCAGAGGTCAACCAGTTGCCTCTCCTAGGAAGCGCATAGGCAGGAAATGAGTGCAACAGCCATGCTCTCCCTGTCTGTGATTTGCAGCCGCTGCCCCTGATAGAGGAGGCAGAACATCACCACCACAGCTAGTAGCCATCAGAAGCCTTTTCCTCCATCAATTTTTCTGAACTCCTTTAAAAATTGTGTCCGTTGATACACCATGCGGCAGAGAATTCCATACTCCAGACTATGTCTCAGGCTGTGTCCAGACTGTTTAACATCCTGGCACTTGAAGGCAGTTCCGCAAAACGAGATGGTCAGGATTCAGGATGAACCACTTTGAACTCCATGTGGAGTAGAGGGCATCTATGATTTCAGGGCAATTCCCAGTAAAAACCAAAACAAGAATGCCCTGAACGTAGTAAGCTAGCACATCAAACGGACGGCTATACAAAACCAATGTCTTCCTGAAGCCCTAGCTCGCTACAGGTTTTTATCGTTAAGAGGCGGGGGAGAGGGGATCCCATGTAGAGGAATGTTTACAATTAATTAGAAACTTCATCACTCACGCACACACTGCCCAGCATCTGCCGACTCACTCTGTCTAATGGTAAGACCAGAGTTTGGACGTTGTTTCAGCACCAGCCACGCTTCAACTGAGTGTCCTCCTCCCTGCAGTGTCATGTTCCTGGGATCAGGCTCCCTTTACTTATTATTTGTATTTATTGTATTGTATTTCTCTCCCACCTTTTTCTCCAAGGAGCTCAAGGCGTGGTACGTGGTTCTCCCTTCCTTCTCATTTAATCCTCACAACAACCCTGTAAGGTACGCTAGGCTGAGAGGCAGCGACAGGCACAAGGTCACAGCCAGTGAGCTTCACTCCGGGCCAAGCTGGGGGTTCGAACCCTGGTCTCTCCCAGGTCCTGGTCCAACACCCTAACTGCTACATCACCGCTAGCACTTCTCCTTCAGGGGATGAGGCAGGAGGGTGGAGTAGGAGAGGGAATTCCCCATACCCTGCCCCAGATGTGCACACTGAACCAGAAGAAGCCCTTGCACAAGAGGAGATTGTTGGGCCATTCAGCCCGAGGAGATGGTGGTGCTCTTCTCTAGTTGCTGCTCTAAAGCCCCAAGCAAAACCTCACCCTCCCCTGCTCTGTTGGAGTTGATGTCTGCTAAAACATCTTGGGCCCCTTTAAATAAAGAGGCTCCTCCCACAGAAGGCGGGGCTAGCTATTTATGTATCTGTTCTGGCTGGTGCTGAAACAACATCCAAGCTTTGCTCTCATGCATCCCTGCATGGAGCTGTCCAGGGTGCTGCTGAGACCTTATCTCCATATTACTGAGGCTGTCACTCAAGACACAACACGGCAAGTGTCCTTGCATTTGTGCCAAAAGCGGGGATAGCCAGCGGATTGACTTACAGGTGCTGTTGGACTATGACTCCAATCATCTTTGACTCTTGGTCGCTCTGTCTTGGACAGATGGGAGCTGTAGTTCAACAACCCCTAGAGGGCACCATGTTGGATATCCCTGTGCTAGGGTCAGTCGGCTCACCCTCTGCCTAAAACCCATGCAAACAGCTTATAGAGACTGTCAATGAGGCTTTTTCAAACTTGGATTTCACACTTGTGTGCTATCTTGGGGCAGGTGGAGTTGTACAGTGGACGCTCGGGTTGCGAACGTGATCCGTGCAGGAAGTACATTCGCAACCCACATTGTCTGCAACCTGCAGCGCCACGTCTGCGCATGCGCGGGTTGCAATTCAGTGCTTCTGCGCATGCGCAAAGTGTGATTTAGCGCTTCTGCGAATGCACAAGCGCCGAAACCTGGAAGTAACCCATTCTGGTACTTCCGGGTTTGGCGTGGTGCACAACCCAAAATCACGCAACCTGAAGCATCTGTAACCCAAGGTATGACTGTACACATAAATGCCAACCTATATCCTAGCCCCTTAAATCCAACATCAAGTTGCCGCCGCCACCAGCAGCCCATTTTCTCCTTGGTTGGGGAGACTTACCCAGCATGCCTTTATTGGAGTCTGACAAGCACATATCCTTCTCGGCGCTGGGAAGGACAAAGCCCACCACGAAGATCTCCACCCCGTCAGCCATGAGGGCCAGCCCCAGCACAAAGTACAGCGTCCACTGGAACCTCCCGTGTCCACATTCCTGGAGGATCAGCTCATACTGCTGGGCCAGTTCTTCCTTCTCCTTCTTCTTGTCCCCTTCCAGGTCGTCAAAGTCCCTGAACTCGCTCACCACCTCCTGGTTGGCCGTCAAGTGGTCCCCACTCTTGATGGAGTCATTCCGGGGGATGCCCTGGTACTCTCCTTCGTAGATCTCATCGTCCTCGTCGTGGCCCTCGGTGGCGTCGCTAGAGGCCCCCTCATCGTCCACTGCCGGCTCTCCACGATAGTAGCCATCCTGGGGCTGGTAGTCCTCGTCGTCATCATCCTCCTCAAAGCGGGCGTAGGAACGCTTCGTGTACTCATCCTGCACCCGGTCTACCCCTTTGCCTACCTTCTTGGTGGCGTGCTTCTTCACTTCCTTGGCAATGTCTTTCGCCCCGCGGATGAAGGCGGTCCGGTCTCTGAAACCTTCATCCATGGTGTTCTGGCTTTGGGGGTCAAAGGGAGAGGAATGTGCTCGGGAGGTCTTCTCAGTTCAGCACCCAGAACGGGTGGACAGCTCCTTCCTTCCGAATAAGAGAAACCTGCAGGGTCTTCCCAGTTCAGCACCCAGAAAGTGTGGACAGCTCCTTCCCTTTGTTGGCAGAGAAATGCACTCCAGAGAACTAAGCTTACAGAGTCTTCTCAGTTCAGCACCCAGAAAGGGTGGATAGCTCCTTCCGAATAAGAGAAATCTGCAGGGTCTTCTGAGTTCAGCACCCAGAAAGGGTGGACAGCTCCTTCCCCTTGGAGGGTTATCCACCCAAATTACAAGGCTAACTTGAGGCCTTCCAGCAGGCGGGTGAGAGCCGTTTCGAGGGCTGCCCTCTGCCAAGCTGAAGCCCCCATCCGTCTAAGTCCTAGCTTGCCTTTGGGGAGCCAACGGGCCAGTGGAGGGAGTCGCTCCTTCTGCGTGGGTGGTGATGGGCCTGCAACGACGACAAAGCAAAAACCAGAACACTTTAGACATGGAACGAAGGACAGGAGCAAATTCACACAGAAGGGAGCCTGTAAATTGTTCTGCCCGGACACTCAGGTCTAGCTCCGAGGGCCTTCTGGCGGTTCCCTCCCTATGAGAAGCCAAGTTACAGGGAACCAGGCAGAGGGCCTTCTCGGTAGTGGCACCTGCCCTGTGGAATGCCCTCCCACCAGATGTAAAAGAGAAAAACAACTACTAAACTTTTAGAAGAGGCAGCCCTGTTTAGGGAAGCTTTTAATGTTTAATAGGTTATTGTATTTTAGTGTTTTATTGGAAGCCGCCCAGAGTAGCTGGGGAAACCCAGCCAGATGGGCGGGGTATAAATAATAAATTATTATTCTTATTCTTATAAATCAAACTAGCATGGCGAAACTGGCCAAAGGAGGAATACACATTTAGTGGATCTGGCCCCATAAAGAACATAACAAGAGCCTGCGTGAGGGAGTTCCATAGTTTAACTATACCCTGTCAAAGAAGTCCTTTCTTTTGTCTGTCTTTAATCTTCCACAATCCAAACCTGCAAGATCCTCAGAGTCCCTTCCACCTCTACAGTTCTATGATTCTATCATATGAGTAGCCAGCTTCTCAGAACAAAATAACTGTGACAGAGCCCACACTAACCCTACCGCCCAAAACTAGGAGTCTATTGCCGCTCTGACAAACTGATGCTTTTTGAAAGGTAAGCCAAAAAACGAAGAGGGCTCATCTCCAGGAATTCAGGGGTCTGCTCTCGCTCACAGGCATGCCTCTCCCACCAGGAAAAGAAATTCTTCCACCTTTGCGTGGAACTAGCTGGCAGCGCTAAGTACATTTAAAATAATAATAATAATAATATTTTTTATTGAATGATTTTATGTTACAAAAAACATTACAACCATACTACCGCTAAATATAATTGAGAAATAAAAATTACATACATCAATATTTAGTTTATTTGTTATTTACCGTCTTCTTTCCTCCCACACATCCCATACAAAACACACATACGTACACACACACACAAAAAAATGAAAAATGATAATAAATGATAATAATGAAAGTAAATATTTTTCCCCTTTTATCTTACAAAATCTTTTCTTCAATTTTGACTACCTGTCAAGTCCCTTCGCATATGTTTTATCTTACAATCGAATGTACACAAAACAATAAAACAATACAAAACAGTGCTAAGTACATATTTTGAAAGCTCCAGACTTATCCCCAGCCCCCCCCCTCCAAAAATTTTTACCTCCAATACATAGTTAAACTATGGAACTCCCTCCCACATGAATTAGGGATGGCCAACAGCTCTGAATACCAGTTGCTGGAAGCCACAGGAGAGGAGAGTCTTGCCCTTGGGCTCAGGTCCCGTTTGAGGGTTTCCCACATCATCTGGCTGGCCACTGTGAGTACAAGATGCTGGAGCAGATGGGTCCCCTTTGGCCTAATCCAACAGGACTCTTCCTATGTTAATAACATAGGATGGGGACCCCCACACACACACACACAAAACACAACCCTGGGCATTGAATGAGAATGCTCCCCCTCCTTGCGTTAAGGGCATCTGTTCTTTCTGCAGGGGAAGAACCATTTTAACACCCCCCAACAGGCAGCAGGCAGGCCCCAATTTCCAAAAACAAATCAAGCGCGCAATTTGCCGGAATGAAAAGGCCCAGACAACGAAGCTCCCTTGCTGCGGCAAGGAAGAAATAAACCTGCCGTTGTATATTTTTAATATGCTTGTTATTCGTGAACTATGGCGCTGCACTCCTGAACTGTGAAAACTCAGCCGTTGTTAATAAAGCTGACTCTGGCGTTTTCATTTTAGCAGAAGGAGGGGTGTTTGTGTGTGTGTGTGTGTGTGTGTGTGTGTGTGTGTGTTTTGGAGAGTGGGGAGATACAGTGAGAAGTATTTGAATGGTAAAGGTAAAGGGACCCCTGAACATTAGGTCCAGTCGTGGCTGACTCTGGGTTTGTGGCGCTCATCTCGCTTTACTGGCCAAGGGAGCCGGCGTACAGCTTCCGGGTCATGTGGCCAGCATGACTAAGCCGCTTCTGGCGAACCAGGGCAGTGCACGGAAACGCCGTTTACCTTCCCGCCGGAGCGGTACCTATTTATCTACTTGCACTTTGACGTGCTTTCAAACTGCTAGGTTGGCAGGAGCAGGGACCGAGAAACGGGAGCTCACCCCGTCGTGGGGATTTGAACCGCCGACCTTCTGATTGGCAAGCTCAAGAGGCTCTGTGGTTTAACCCAGAGTGCCACCCACGTCCCTCATTTGAATGGTAGGGTTATGCCATTTGACTTGTAGCACAGACAGTCTTCTCAGAGCGGGCAGATTCCTCCAGGAAGCCCACAGTCCAGTCATGGAGACAAGAGCCGTCACTGTGACTCAGAAGAACAGAGAATCATATAGAAGGGACCCTGAGGATCATCTAGTCCAACCCAGTGGAAAGCAGGAATCACAGCTAAAGAATCCCTGACAGATGGCCACCCAACCTCTGCTTACCACATACCTATGGGACCGCCTCTCCTGCTATGTCCTGCAGAGGACCTTAAGGTCCACAAATGACAACACTTTGGAGGTCCCAAGTCCCAAGGTGGTTAGATTGGTCTCAACTAGGACCAGGGCCTTTTCAGTACTGGCCCCGACTTGGTGGAACGCTCAATCACAAGAAACCAGGGCCCTGTGGGACTTGACATCTTTCCGCAGGGCCTGCAAGACAGAGCTATTCTGACTGGCCTTTGGTTTGGACTCAGTCTGACCCTTACGTTTTCCCCTCCCCTTATGGTTTTGATCTATGAGCTACTTTTAAAATGAGGCTGCATTTTAAATTGCATTTTAACCTGTATTTTAAATTGGTAGGTTTTTCCCCCCTATTACGTTTTTACTGTAATTTTACTGGTGTTAGCTGCCCTGAGCCCGGCTGTGGCCGGGGAGGTCGGGGTATAAATAAAAAAAATTATTATTATTATTTATTATTAAAAACCTCCAAAGAAGGAGAGTCTACCATCTTCCAAGGGAGTCCGTTCCACTGTTGAACAACCCTCAGAAAGTTCTTTCCAAGGTTGAGTCGGAATCTTCTTTCTCGCCACTTAAATCTATAGGTTCAGACCCTGCCCTCTGCAGCAGACAAGCTTGCTCCATCTTCCGGGGTGCAAACCTTCAAATATTTGAATATGGCTGTCATATGTCTTCTGCATCGTCTCTCCTGCAAGCCTTCCAGATATTGCTGGACCCCAATTCCTGGCCATTCCCTATGTTCACTGCTAAGACCTATGGGAGTTGGAGTCCATCAACAATATGGCCACATTACAAGTGAACAGTGAAGCCCAGGCAGCCCATAACAAGCCTTATATTTTATTAAAATTAAGCGGCAGCGTTTATCCAAGATGTTCGCATCGGGCTCGCAGCCAGACAGGCACCCAGGCCGGGAGCCAAATGGCAACCCAAGGGGAGAAGCTGGGGAGATCTTTTCACAGCCTTGTACAATGTCAGCCTTAAAACAAAGAGGAAGTGTTGTGTAGTGGTTAGAGCATTGGCCTAGGAGCAGGGAGAGGCCACGGCTTAAATCGCACACATTCAGCCATGAAGCTCACTGCGTCTGACCTTCGGCCAGACACTGTCTCTCAGCCTGATCTACCTTATAGGGTTGTTGTTGGGAGGAGGGTCTTAAATGACAACAAGGACCTGGGAGACTAGGGTTTGAATCGCCCCACTTAACCAACCTTCCAGGGTTGTCGTGATGATTGAATGGAGGGGAGGAGAGAGCCATATACACCACCTTGAGCTCCGTGGGGGAAAGGGTGAGGTAGAAAGGCCATAAAATAAATGAATTGGGATTTTGCTGTGGTGGCGGCAGTGTTTGTTGCTGCTTTCGATATTAACCTTTTGTACCTCTATTTTAGATCCTGTGCTTTACGTGGAAATTGTTTAATTTGGTTGTTTACTTTTGGGGGTTTTATTCATAGCCTGTTATTACTTTTGCTATGCTTATAATTATGTGATTTTTTGTTTGTGCCATTAATAATAATAATATATTATTTTTACCCCACCCATCTGGCTGGGCCTCCCCAGCCACTCTGGGCACCCTCCAACAAAATATTAAAATACAGTAATGCATCAAACATTAAAAGCTTCCCTAAAGAGGGCTGCCTTCAGATATCTTCTAAAAGTCTGGTAGTTGTTGTTCTCTTTGACATCTGGTGGGAGGGCGTTCCACAGGGCGGGTGCCACCACCAAGAAGGCCCTCTGCCTGGTTCCCTGTAACTTGGCTTCTTGCAGTGAGGGAACCACCAGAAGGCCCTCAGCGCTGGACCTCAGTGTCCGGGCAGAACGATGGGGGTGGAGACGCTCCTTCAGACAAGCCATCTTGAGCATGGCTATAACTACGGAAAGCGTGCAAGCCAATAAAATTACATTCACGGTGCTATGTGAACCTTGGCTAAGACTTTACAGTTCTTCCAGACATCCTTACATAAGAGCAGCCTTGCTGAATCAGGCCCATGGGCACCCACCACCCGGATGCCCCAAAGGGAAGCCCCTGAGCAGGATCTGACCACATTCTCTCCTCCATTATTTTGTCAAAACATTGTTACCCCTAATCAGAGGACATCCCCCTGTTTCTAGACAGCTAAGCATTTGGGACGTTCGCTTATCAACAACCAGATGAAACTGAAATGAAAAGGAGGAGGGGAGGAAACACGAGAAAACACGTCACTGATAAATCCTGTAGGCCGTGAAATGGATTTTTAAATTTTATTTTAAATAGACCAACCGGCTGGTTCAAAGACCCTCGGTCCCCCCTTTTTTTTTATAATCGCCTGCCCCAGGGAAGCAAGGGGAGTCGGGGAAGGGATTTACGAGGATGAATGCAAGTATCCCACAGTTTGCCAAGCAACCCTGCTCCCTCTCTCTCTCTCTCTCTCCTCCGCTCGAAATAGGATGCTATTTTTAAGCACTGGTAGCA